TTTTTTGTCGACCCACTTGTTTATGACCTCCCTTAAATGGGCTTTGGTGAGCACGCAAAACGGTTCCGGGCCATGGAATAGTGCGGTAGCTCCGTGTTTTGCTTTGTCCAATAATAATTTTTGGTCAAAATCCTTTAAATCAATTGTAATATTCAAATATTCTATAAAACATAAAATTTTTGGTTTGGTTTGATTTATTTTTTATTTTATTCTGTTTGATTTTTATTATGTCTGTATTCAGGCAAGTAGAAATTGTCATCTTTATACACGATAAGTAGTTAAGTACGCGATCATAGTGTATTTTGATTTTGTAAAATATGGACCATTTTTCAACTAACTTTTAGAAGTATGCGAATGAGTGATGTATAAAAATTCTACTTTCGAATTTCATTTTCTGCTCAGATTTTTCACGTTTTTTCTCCGAAGGTTTTATTAAAACTATAAACTATGCGATTTGTTGCCCTTTTTTCAGGTTTTTCGCAATTCACTCAAAATTTTGCGGGTGTAGAACTCAAACAGACCTCAGATTCGGGTTCAGAGGGTCGAATTACTTGTCGGTAGGTGGGTCTGGTTGAAATCATATACCACTTTTTGGTGTGCTATGTATAATATTTACTTATATGTGTATATACTAGCTATTGTTCTAATCTTTTTAGGAAAGAAGCCATTTTGGTAGGTTTTTGAACCAGCTCTTGGACAGTGCTAGCGTCGACGATTTCTACATCATGCAGGGGACCACTTGCCCCAACATTGCTGCATAGTAAGTTTCGGCTATAGGCGAAAGGAAAAGATTGGTCTGGTTTTCTTTTTGGAGCTGTTCAGCTACGTCTAGCTTTTGTAAACAAGTATTATTTCGTTACATTCATAATTGGTACCACGAGTGTGGGGGAAAGTATGTCAGCTGGGACATAGCCCCCATTATATCTTCGAGCCGGACTGTTTACAACCAGAGGTCGCCAGGTATCTGGAGGCCACCGTTATAAGGCACAATAACGTAGTGTCATTCAGCCCATAAGTACGGTGCGGATGACACTCGGAATTAAGAGATTTATCCTTTAGATCCGGCATATTCAGTAAAGGCAGGGGCACATATCGGAGGGTGTGACTCATCGCCACGTATGGTCGGTCTTGAACTATCTGTCCCTGACTCAAAGCATTACACCACGTATGCATCAATACCAAGAGCCTTGACCCCCTAGCCCTTCAATAGTTGGCAAAAGATAGGCTTTACTGTGTTGCCAATGTAGCCGACGGAATAAAAATTAACTCTCCAATAACAAAAATTTACCAACTCATTGGCTTGTTATTGCACCCCACACCATTACATACTGAGAATGCTTTACAGTAGTCTGAACGCAGCTGTAACTAAATCTTTTTGCGGCAAACCACGCTTGTTGAACCTGAATTGAATTGACTTATTTTGCACCATTCAGAAAATATGACTTGTTCCCAGGCCACCATAACATTTCTTTTAAGCGACACTGCATCGTTGAGATGCTAGATTCTATGTTCCTTCAATTCCGTGGCAATTTCTGGAGCAGTTTAAATCGATCTCGCCGAGCTACCTTCACGATATCTATTTCTATCATCGCGCTCCGAGGTCTTTCGTGGTTGTGCGCTTCCAGTACGATGGGCCAAACTGTCAGGTTCTATATACTTCATCCAGAATTTCCTTACGGAGGATTTATTACAATGTGCAGCGCGTAAGATGTGGACATTTCACATATTTTGCTGCTTGTATAAAACTGTAAATTTTTTCCGTTTTCGAATAAAACCAATGGTCATGGGCGTCGCCTGGGTCGAATTTAACATATAAAAAAGTCTGCAAACCAAACTTGACAAGGGATGACGGAGATTCGTTCCAAAATAAATCATATAAAAAATCCCTCGAAAATTTTATTGAAGTTGATTGATTAATCCTTATTAATAGCTATGTGTAAACTAAATGGTTCCATTTGAAAATACAATCTTAGCTAATAGGCAAATATAAATTTAGTTTAGTAAGTAGAGTGGAGTACTAAATTTAAATTTTTTGACTTGTTTTCATGCAAATAGAGGAATATTACCAGGAAATCGACACCTGAGTGTCAAACTGGCTGCCGATATAGGTCGATTTTCCACTCAGGCGTTGAGATATTCTTACAGCGATGATATGTAGGACAGGCGTATAAAAATTGAAAAAAATGTGAAGTAATACACATCGTCACCCTTAATCCAGAAGCATAAATGTGCAAATTTACCAACTTTGAGTTATTGGGTTGACTTGATTAACCTTTGGATGTCCTATGTTATACCAAACCCAGAATACCATGCGTACACGGAAACCACATATTTCACAATAGGTTCTTTCCCTAACAATCCGGACCGCATCCGGTAATTAGAGAATAAGCGAAAAGTTTGCTCTCAAAAATGGAACATAATCCAGGAGTACGAGAACGCAAAAAAACACATTTTGTGCCCAGAATTTGAGAAACAGCTGATTCACGTAGTTTTTTTTTGTCACTTAAATGCAAGCTCTTGCAAATTGTGTTTAACGAATTTGATATATAAAAATTGAAAGTACATCAACAGGCCATTCACTTATTCCTAAAAAGCACCAAGCAGGTAAAATGTAAACACAAAACAGCTGATATGCACTTTGACACTTTATCCATTTTTACCCGGAGAAAAAGTCCGGACTGTTTCGGGCAGGAAGAAGAAGACACTTACGATCCAATACGTTCCAATTTTCGCTCTCTATTACCTATTTTGCTGAGTACAGGAATAATTTCTGGGCTGTTTTGGGCACACGCGGCACACAGTTTTATAGCCCATTAAATTTAAATATAACAACGTGCAAGTTTCAAGTGTCCCAAATTCGCGTTAATGAAAAATTAATAATAATAATATGAAAAATTAATAGTTAAAAATTAGAAATTTGTCTTGATGTTATAGTTTTGACCGCCAATGTATAATAACTTTCTTCGGATTTTGGTAAAGCGTGAAACTTTGAACGCACTTTTTTTCTTTCGATCATTTGATAAAGCAAATTGAAAGCAGTTGAATTTAATAATAGATCTGATAAAATTGTTAGTCCTTTACCCTAGGTAACGCGGTCTTAGTTTATACGGTTATTTGAGAATATAGCAAAATACGTGATAAAAGTTGTAGATTTTCAGTCTTGGCCTGAATGCCCCAATTGTTTTGATTAATTTATATGTATGATATGGCTGAATACGTTTTTGTTTTGTTTTAACTAATACTTGTGATATGTTATTATCAGTACTATATAAGATAAGTATGTACTTAATATTTTTCTTCTACATATAAAATTTTGTTTTGTTTTGATTAATACTTGTGATCGTAATTGCTTTCTATTCTTACGACTTGTATACAGAAATTAAATTTAAACATATTGAATTGATTGTATGTGTATGATTTTTTGTGCTTTTTTCTAATACATACAATATTCTTTATAAGCGTTTATAAGCGAATTTGTTTTTCTAATTTTGGGAATTATGGCTTATCATATTATCGGTCTAAAATATTTGAAAAGTCGGGGAAAAAGGACAAAGTTATTGGAAAATGCTATATAACAATAAGATAATTCTTCAGGGACTATAAGAAACGAAAAATTTTATATAAAAGGCTTCGTATATGCATTTTAAAATTATCCAATACTATCGGTAGTTTCAATGCAAACTATCGAAAACATCGAATGGGCTGACTATCGATAGTTTTACAGCTATAATGCAGAGTTAAGTCTCTTTTACAAAAATTATTTAAAAAGCAGACGTCTTGGTGGCCAAAAATTAGCACATTTCTAAAGCATCGAATCCGAACATACAATTTTATTTTTAGAATAAAAAGGCTTAATACAGTTTAATTTAAAACAAAATAAAGAGAAAAAAATATGTATTATTTTTTTATGAAAATATGACTGACTATCTAAAAAAAAACATGTAAATCAAAATTTCAAAATTTGTAGAAAATTTATATAAATTCGACGAATTTTAATAAATGTTCAGCAAAATTTGAAATATTTTAATCAGATTTCCTAGAGTTGTTTTGAGCATGCAGTTTTGTGGCCCATTTAATTTAAGTATAATAAAGTGCAAGTTAAAAGAAGCTGGGACTTAGGGTTAATTTTTGGAATTTTTTATTGTTGAAGGTGTTGCTCAATTTCTTCATATCTCGAACACACTTCGAATGAAAGAAAATAACTGGCACTGTCAACAAAAAATCTCAAAATTCAAAGGTATTTAAGTCCTTGTTACTGCAAACTTGCAATTTGTGATACTAAACTGTGGGCTATAAAACTGCATACTCAAAATATTTCTAACAGTTCTAATTCAAAAGCCCGAAATTTACCAGACGCCTTACTGGATCCGCCATTTCGTATTTTGAAATTCTGACTACGGATTCGTAGCCAGTTGTACGAAATTTCTTTGAACCTCCGAATTTTGGCCGCACTTTTGAATTTCGACCGCACAGTGTTATCATTTACAGAGCTGCCTATATGTTTCATTGGAACAGATAATTGCTATGGGTATGGTTATGGCTAGAATATGGCATCATTGATGGGGCCTTAAGGATTTATCAATGGTTACTACAAAAACTAAAAAATTTCGTTACCTAGCTTTAGTTACAATAGAAGCGCAGTAACAGGTAAAAAATTGTCCGCGTTTTTTTGATCGTAAGTGTACATATGCACATAGGTATATGTACATAAACATATACATTGCATTTGTATAAAGTAGCATTGATCGAAATAACTTAAGTTTTAAAACGTATGTACATATATATGTATGTATGTATCTATTTACATGCACTGTTAGAAATTTATCCATTTACTTTTACGGCCTTATTTACTCAGGTGAAAATACAATATGGCTTTTGGTAGATGATAAATTTCGTCGGAAAACCAGGTTGAAATTTCTCCAAATATAGAATTTAAGTTTCAGTTCAGTTTAAGACAAGCTGTATGTCCGTTGTGTCGCTTAAGGTTTTGAGTAAATGAAATGAAACGGAAAATACGTGCTTCTAGTGGGGTTCGACTTTTGTGCATTTTTACAATCGGTCTCGCAACTTATGTTCTCTTATCTCAAGTGATCCCAATACAACGTGCTATTAATGAAAAAGAAGCCCAAGAAATAAAAAAATACTCATTTTGGCAGAAAAATGAGGAGATATTGCAGAGTTCTAGAGCTCAATTCAAGGACTGGCACGATGTGGACGCGATGGAAAGAGAAGCAACTCGCACAGGACCTGGCGAGCGCGGTGAACCGGTATACATTAATGATCCATCGAAGCTGCAGCTGAAACAACAAATGACCAAAAAAAATGGATTTAATGCGTTGTTATCAGATGTGATTTCTGTTAATCGTTCAGTGCCGGATATACGTTTCCATGGGTATGTGGACTTATAAATATATATAGGTAATTTTCAAAACAAAGTGCTATTTTCTTGTCTCCACATTTTAAATTTTTTTTATGGTGGTAAAAACGAAAAATCACAGCATTCTACGATCTAAATAATAAGCCACCTACAAAGCTGTTTTTATAAGTGTAAGCCGTTTTGTTTTATTTTGCGAACGGTATTTCTTTGATATATCCCAGCTAGCATTTATTATCGCGGAAGTGGCTAAAACGTAACTTCAAGAAGTCAAATTTCCTCGCGGAAATTATCGCTTTTTGATCTTTTTACTATTCTTCGTAAGCGTTACGTCCACGCTGACGCACATGCGACACTACAGGAAGTAACTTCTTAGAGTCGTCTGGGAGACACAGAAACGTGACATAAAAACTACCTTTAGAGGTTTCTTTTTTACTTCTATCTTATTGTAAAAAACTGCAAATATATTTGTTTTATTAATAACATTAAAAACAACAAAAATATCTGTTCACATTTTTTAGTTAAGCATAGAAATTTGGCCACTATATTAAAAGCGTAAATTCCCGCGTGTATTTTCATTTGAATGTTTCCGTTAGAGCACTCTTTCCCTGGCGCGTAAAACACTTTTATTTATTTGAAAATCTGAAGAATTTCGAACTTGGAGTGACAAACATCTGGGAATTATTAAAAAATGAAAATTAGTAAGATATAAGCACTGCTAATAAATATGTTTTTTTTTTAACTTTTTAGGAAGGAAAAAGTTGCAAAGTTTTGTATGCTTGGTTTCTCTGATGTCCCACGCCAAGTTAAATTTATCGCCAACTCATCATACACAATTTTCTCTAACGATGTACGGCAACTTCTTCATCTCCAATCTTTTGTATCACCCATTTCAGTAATCAATAATATTAGCTTTATTTTATTAAAATCGTAAGGATGTTTGCTAAGGGATTTTTGTTATATGAGCTAGACTTTTATGGAAAAATAATAAACATTAAATAAACAAAAGAAAAATGGCCAAAATTTATCAAAATATCGATGCCTTAATTTGCTAATCACAAGTGTATATGCAACATTCAGAAAAATTTAATAGTCTGAATTTTTAAAACAATTTATGGTATGAAGTTTTATAGCCCATGGAATTTTAGTTTAACCAACAGTGTGCAGCTAAAAATTTCCGTTGTTTTTTATTTTTTTGCCGCTGGTTTTTTTGTACTTTTTTTAATTTAACAATTTCCATTGATAAAAAATGGCGTTGACTTTTTTTGTCAACAATTATTGCGTTTAATTATTTAGAGAATCATTTCAAATATTTAGGCAATCAAAAGCTCCCCGGGATTTCAGTAAAATAAGTTTTGAATGCAGCCCGATATTTTCGCCTTTTATCGATATACATTTATATGTTTTATGTATGTATGTATATAAAAAGAGTGCATTAAGGCGTTCAAAAATTAAAGCAATTTTGGATAGAAATTTAGAATATAAAGAAAAATAATGCGCGAACGAAATGTTTTATTTTTTTTTCCAAAAAACCTAATAGTGCACAATTCAAGGACCCTTATGCAAGAAAGATTTTGTATTCTGCCTTTCTTAGGTCTAAACTTGAATATGCCTCTCTCATATGAAATTCCCACTTATGAAATTCACCATAAAAGGATAGAACGGGTTCAGAAAAGTTTTTTAAAATTTGGTCTAGCCCAAATTAGGTTTGCAAATAATTTTCCTCCACATATTTCGCGTTGCAAACTTGTATACATTTACATACACTTCGCAGTAGACGAATTATATCTGGCCTAATGGTCTTACATGAAGTTTTGAGTGGAGCAATTGACTGTTCTGTCCTTTTAGATCTCGTTAAACTCAATGCTCCAATGAGAATGCTACGTGAACATTAGGGATGTTAATTTTCTCGCTTTTTACGAGCCCGGGATTTTCGGGATGTCGTTATCACAGTCCCGGGAACTTGGAGATATTCATTACTTTGCAACAACTTAAATCGAGAAAATTGCGTCTATATTGTTTGAGAAGTTCTTTTCAATTATGACTTTATTACTCAATGGTCCAATTTTGAATATGACTTTGTTTCACTTCTGGATTGGAAATAACGTCATATGGTTTTAATTCCAAATAAAATGGATATATGGCCTTATTGCGCATGGTGTTATTGCACCCCACCCCACGATGTGGATACAGACAATTGTTTATTATGTACCCTTACTAAGTACAATTCTCATTTCTGTGTTGCCGAAGTATTCTTTCCCACAACTTCTTTCTTCTTTCAATTAAGAAGAGAAAGTTAATAATAATTTATGATTTTCGGTGAAACCGGTGCAAATCGCAGACATGACAAAGTTTAATGGAGTTATAGAAAACGACGCTCAAGTGTGCAGAAGAGATGTCCTCATAAGATCGTTTCAGCATGACGCGAAGTACCTAAGTGTTTAATTTAATTAAGTAAAATTTTGTTACAACCCCCATTAGTTATTGGACACACTCTAAAAATTTTCTGCTTAAATTTGCGCATACAAAGAAAGGTAAACAGTTTCCTCTCTTAATGAATGCAAATCTACACACCCTGTTAATTAAATTAAACATTGCTTGCTTACTTTTACAATGTTCAAAATTTCCTCTAAAAAATTGTTGTTTAAATTTACGCATACAAAGAAAGGTAAACAGTTTCCTCTCTTGGTGTGTGCAAAATTAAACACTGTCTGTTTACTTTTACATATAAAATTTGTCAAGTAGAGAAAAACTACACACAAAGTGTTTAAAGTTAAGTAAACATGAGCTCTTAGCATTAGCGCACACAGGGGGTGCGGTTTGGGGTTCAAACAATTTTTTGTACATTCATTTGATAAAGACGTTTTTGGGTAGGAAATGACGTTTTTTCAGACCAAGAGGGACGTGTTCTCATGACGAAGTCCTGGCAACACTGCGTATGAGTAACATTATTTCCTGCTCCTACTTCATGAAAAAATTATTGCATATTTCGTTTGACAATTCACAACCATGGATAAATAGCATCGATTTTCATTGTTAGGAACACGCTTTAATACAAATGAAAAGAAATACGAAATATTTTTTTATTTTTAACCGACTTCAAAAAAGTAGGAGGTTATCAATTCTTCGGGATATTTTTTGTTTATTTAGGTTACCGCCTAACTTTGAGCCCCGACAACCGATTTCTATAATTATTCTTTTGAAGGGAAGGTGGTACCTCAGAGGCAGTCGCATACTAATTTGGTTTAGATCCGATCATTGGATCATGAAGAAATTAACGGTACTCTTAAATTTTTTATATGAGAATTGTAGTCGGTTTTGATTTTCGTTAAAAAATTACTGGTTTTAATTGTTTCCTTGTTAAGATTTGTCCTCTTTTCAAAAAAAAAAATTAAAATATCTTGCGAAAATGACCTGATATGGAAAAACGGCATATATGTATGTATATTCATAATCTACGACCCAATATTAGGTTTAGGTGTTTCGAAGCTTTTTGTGTCATTTAAAAATTTGATATTTTCCCTATAGTGCAATGCGAATTTTGTATCATTTGTTCGCTGATATCTTAGAAATACATTGCTATATGTTGATACCTAAGTAGTAAATCAGAAAGCTGTGGTTATAAGCAACATTTTTCCGTTATGCATTTTAAACAATATCTTATTTTTTTAATGTAGACAGCCAACTTTGGCCGTCATGGACTCATCGGTGATCCCAAATTATGCCATGTTCTTTTCAAGACCGATTATAATCTTTTTTCAAATAAAGTTTTAAGAAACGTTTCATTTCAGATGCCGAATGATGAAATATTTTGCCGATTTGCCAACTGTTAGCATAATAATACCCTTCTACAACGAACACTTCAGCGCTTTGTTACGATCTTTGCATAGTGTTGCCAATCGTACACCACCTGAGTTGATAAAAGAAATAATACTCGTTGATGATTTCAGCGATCGAGTCGAGTTAAAGACACAGCTCGACGAATATGTTAAAAAGGATTTTCCGAAAGTAGATATTATACGATTACCAAAGCGAAAGGGACTGATCTTGGCGCGTCTGGCTGGCGCAATTAAGGCTGTCGGGGACGTTTTGGTTTTCATGGATTCACACATAGAGGCCAACTATAATTGGCTGCCTCCACTGCTGCATCTAATTGCTCAAGATAAGCGTACAGTTGTATGCCCCATGATCGATGTGATTAACGACGAAACCTTCTCGTATACTGCTCAAGATGAAGGTGCACGTGGCGCATTCGATTGGACACTCGATTACAAGCGGCTTCCTATGTTGGAACGGGATTTGAAAGATCCCACCAAACCTTTCGAGAATCCTATCATGGCGGGTGGTTTGTTCTCCATAGCACGAGAATGGTTTTGGGAGTTGGGAGGATACGATGATGGTTTAGATATATGGGGTGGAGAGCAGTACGATTTAAGTTTTAAGATCTGGATGTGTGGCGGAAGACTACTGGATGTGCCATGCTCACGTGTCGGGCATATTTTTCGAAACGATAAATGGCCTGGTGTACCAAATAATCGTAAAGGCGACTACTTACATAAGGTAAGCTCTATAAGTAAGGACGTTTATATAAGCATACATGTATGTATGTACATACCTACTTCATTTTGCAGAACTATAAACGCATTGTTGAGGTATGGATGGACGACTACAAAAAGTATGTCTATCAGCATGCACCAGGTTTGTACGAAAAAATCAAAGAAGGCGATTTAACAGAGCCAAAAGCAGTGCGGCAGAATTTAAATTGTAAATCATTTAAGTGGTTTATGGAGAATGTTGCTTTTGATTTGGTGAAACATTATCCCCCGAGAGGCACTGCCGATTTTGCATTTGGTCAAGTGCGCAGTGTGGGAGCACCGAATCTTTGTCTGGACACATTAGGCCCACCGGACTACGGGCCGATCGGAATTAAGCAGTGTGAGGAGGACGCGTTTTTTCCCAGCCGCAATCAGGACTGGTCCCTAAGTGAAAATCATGATTTGCGCATGCGTGGTGAAGACTACTGCTTGCAGACAACACAGAGAAAGGGAAACTCAATGGTGTTGATCTATGATTGCCACATTGGTGATACCGACCAGTTGTGGTATTATAACCGTAAAATGCAGTGGCTGGTTTACGGGAAAAACAGGAATTTTTGCTTAGAAGCTCGACCTGATTTCCATCAAGTTGTTGTTGATAGGTGTGCCCTTAACAATCCATTAATGAAATGGGCTTTTGTTCACGTAAATGAAACATTGCTCGATAAGTATTTTGACACTCTTCCCAAATAGATAATGTTTATGAAAAAATATTACACATAGTTATAAAATTTATATTAGATATTTGTAAATTAAATAATAATTTAGTTACGAGTTTACGAAACAATTATTTGTACTAAACTATATACTATATAACTCGTAATTTAAGGCTGACTGCTTTTTCTGTTAAGCTCAATGTTTGGATGCTCGGAAAAAAATGTATTTTAAGGAATTACCTTAGATCATAATAAAAATAAAAGTTATCAAAACAAATTCTATGGGACTGAGATATATTATTTTCTAATTTTTAGTCCATTTATAAAAGCGTGGTATATTAAAAAGTTTCTTTTTATATTATTTATTTTATACTGTTTAGCCTCGTCTGTATAAAATTTTGCAATAGATATTAAAATAGTTCAACTTGCAGTGAAAAGAGAACAGAAGACTATTCAAGGAAAATGTTGTTTGCTCACGTTTTGTGTATAATACATACAAATACAGAAAAACTAAAAAGAAAAGGAAAACCGAGTAATCCAATATCAAAAATGACACTTGAATTTCTTGAATTTTATAATAAATTAATTTATAGAAATGTCGCGCAGACGCTTTTTATGTGAAAAAGAAAAGATGAATTAAATTAAATAGCTTTGCATGCGTGTTTTGGCACGCAAATAATTTCCAGAAATTTTTACTAAAAAGCTTGCAATTCCAATTAAACTTTGTTGATTTTATTTAATTTTTGCAAAAGTTTGGAATTTGGATTCATATAGTTTTTGTTAGATAATGAGCTCTACTTTTATAAAAAAAAATGCAAAGAAATTTCAAAGAAATATTGAATATGAATGAGTCAATATAGTTTATTAGTCCTTTTTAATGAGTAAATTTATATGTATATATGTATATTGGTAGCATTTCTTTATTCATTCTGAAAGTTTGGAATAAAATTTTTTGTTTACTTATCCTTTAGAACGTTCCTGATGATATGTTAACGTATATTTCAAACGCATTCTGTTCATTCTGGCTGGGAAATGGGCTTATCTGGAATTTATAAAGAAACGCAGCCATAATAAATTGGTAATCATTTCAAAAATTTTCAAATCGGTTTTTTTAATTTCCAGGTAGCTTTAAAATAAAATTTCAATACTTCATCACAATGTTTAAGTTTGTATAAGTAAACATCGTCCCCACCCCAGAGTAAAATAATCACCTTCAAATTTATTTTCAAGTGCAACTGAGCATAAGTCAAATTCGCTTGAATGTATTTGTCACATATATTCACAGATACCATGATACAAAAATAGAAGGTAGTTTCATTTATTGACATCCGTTGTTGTTGCCGACCACTTGACCTTTAACAAGTTTATAACATTTAACTAAAATCATGCTACCAGGTTTATTAGCAGCAAAATTTTTGTTTCTTGAAAATTGAAGTTAGTGAAGTTGGATAAATATATTAAAAGAAGAGTCTTGCGCGTTTCCAAACTGCAATAATGCGGTACACCTGTTCAAAGGTTCGAAAATATTTCTTTGCTTTTCCCAGGATAGAGTACGTAATACGATGTAATGCAGATTGGTGACAAATTGCTGACGCAAAGTATTTTTAAACCTCTTAACCATGTACCGTTATACGTGAAAGAGGGAGGGGGTCGAATTAAAATGCTGCCCTGCAACTTGTAACTTCTTGGATTCTCGGAATGTGACGCTGCTAAAAAATATATATACATACATAGAACAAATAAGCACAAAACTGTGTACATATTTGTGACAGGCATTATCCACGTAAGATGAATACTACTGCAGATGGGGTACGGTTCGCTTATTTGTACAATGATTTTGGGTTATCATGTCCAAACGCGTGACCCGAATGCAAAAAATTTTAATATATACACTCTAAAACATTTGCATAAAATTAAGACTACAAAAGGAGTAAATTCACGTTTAAATTATTTTGGTGTCCAAAAATGGGCATTTTTGCACCTTCTTATGTGAAAAACAAAAAAATTGTCTAATATTCTTATAAAAAGTGTGCAATATTCATGTTTACAACCAAAATGCCTAAATTTTATGCACGAAGTGTCTAAGAGCTCACATGATGTTTGATTTCACACTAAAACACTAAACACATAATGTTTGATTTTACACACTTACGATCGTTTTGCTCATGAAATAGCAGTAAACCTTTATTTGTTGTGAAATCGTTGCGTCAGTCGGTTTAGTGTGAGCAAATTTTTAATTGTTGGTGTTCTTCGGTGGAAAATTGGCGTAATAAATATATATTTAGAAAAGCAGTTAATGGTATTTTTTATAAGTTCATAGTTCTATAAATATTTTGGAAATCCTTGTATGCAAAGTGTATGCTAAGCAGTTTTGTAAATTAAAGAGTTACCATTTGCATTAATATGCGCATAGGGAATTAAATTGTAATATGTTTGAGTATTTATTTCCGAAATGCAAGAAAAAATGTTCAAGCTATAATGCTTATGAAGTGCATTTTTCTAAAAATCATTCCGAAAAAGGCGACGTGGTTAAATGAACGGCAAATTTAATTGTTCGGTGGAATCTTGTGCATTTTTTGCACCAACCATAAGTGAAGTGTATTCACATATTTTAAAGCATTTTGCTTGCTGTGAATTGGCCAATACTTTCGTATTATCGACGTAAATTTGCCAAAAATGGTTTAGAGTGTACATATGTACGTCTAGAATAGACTTTAATTTAAAACTAAGATTTCGGTTTGAAATATGCATTTTTTGAGGTAGAAAAATAATGTGGATGGCGTAACCGGAGTTAGACTGATGAGGTTATTTTTTCCGGCCCGGTCGAAGACCACCAACGCTGAAAGGAGTTTTACGCAAATATGCTGCTGATGGCCCAACGCGAGTTCAATATTTCTTTGTGAAAATTGCTATTTTACCCACTTTTATAATGGGCCCCCCAAGTGCTTGTAGAAAGGGCAGGGAGGCGAAGGTTGGCTTTTCTTCAAGTTTACACTGTGCACTCTCTAATGGCTGGAGTGCACCACCTCTTCCCCCTTCGCTCAATACAAATAACCAAACAATTCCCACGCACAACATTAAATCCTCTAATGTTTTGTTTGATTTCTAATTGGGAAAATTTCATGCATGCATTTTCATAATATTCAACTGTAAAAAATTATGAGAGAGATATTTTTTAATTCGAAAATATTTCAATTTCCCTGAATATCGTGAAATATCATCGTCAGAATATATAATGAATGGACGCTTTTGAAAATTTTAATTCATGGAAAAAGTGTGTAAAATTACACTTGAGTTTGAAATTTTAGCTGTGTGCTAAGCTTGAAGTTATTTGAGTAGGCCCTCATCTAGAAGCGTTAAATTTTGAAAGACGCGCAACTCAGTGGGTGATTCTTGGAAATATGTACATTGAGCTTCATCTGTGAACTAATCAATTAGTACATTACTCAGTTTATTCGCAAAGTTTTTCCAGATATGCGAAAACTTACAGCTGATTGAAAAACGCTGTAGATTATCATTTTGTGATTTGTAATTGTCCACAGTAGGATCTTATTATTGAGAAACAATTCCTGTAAACAAAAAAACGCTGCAGTCTGCGATGGTAAGTATCTATTCCATATTCATGAGTTTAGGATAGTTTTTCGTATAAACAAAATTAGCGTTTGGTGCATTGCTTCAAAACGTTACACCACGTCGCATTTCGTATTCTAGCAGCTGAAGGAAAGTATACTAAAAATTTCAGACATGTGCTCACGATTTGAAAAAAAAAAATTTCACAGAATAATTCGAAGTTTCTGAGAAATGTCCATAGGTATCTCTTTCATTCATTTAAAGAAATGGCGTGTCGTACATTTCCGCTGTAGCGTATGTTGTGCATATTTTTAGGCGCAATATTTAACTTCTGACGGGGTGTCATCTACCTCTAGAGTTTTTCTAATTGTATGTCTTTAATATGATACGTACGACGAGGTTGATTTCTAGACTAGGTTTGCCATAAATACCTTTGCTATATTTATAGTATAAATGGTGGTCTCGACACACAAGATTGCAAGTTGATAAAAGCGTTGTAATAAAAATAATTAAATGAAAGCAAAAATTAAAATAACAACGATGAACTGGAAAACCGAATAAAGAATGTGCGTGTAGACGGGGTAATTCGCAAAAGCAATTGAGAGCGCGAACGACATATGTATGTAGTTAATTGGAAGCAGCGTTTGAAAGTGCATTTCTTTGCTGTGGCTGTGAGAATTTTCAAAGCCAGTTTTGCTGTTGGAAAGTAAAAACAAAATAAATAAAAGAAAAACAACTTTATAATATAAACGCTTTTATAAATGGACTAAAAATTCGAAAATAATATATAATATATCATAATCATTTACCAGTCCCATGATTCAATAACACAAGTTTATGTAATTTGTGACAACTGAAATCTGACACTCCTTTATCTACACACAACCTTCGATTCTAAAAAAAAAAAAACATTTTTTCACATCTTAAAAGCAATGATAGCTCTCTACCATTTTTGAGCAGAGCCGCATGCGTTTTTACGTGGAATGATCATAAAATTCCCATGTATATTGCATATTTATGTACATTACGGTGGGTCAATTTGTATGGGAAGTTTTTTTTTGGCTATGCGCGTATAGCACAGCAGGATTCTACGAGTAATTCTAAGCAAATTTGCCGAAGGAATCATGGGTCAAAAATCAATTTGGAGTTTGCCAAATTGCAAAAATATGTTTCTTAGCATTTTGATGTAGTGCCGTTAGAAAGTGCTTTAATTTTGTTCAAAAACATGCTATACGCGATTTTTTGATATTAGGAATCATTCTCTGGACTTAACTTTTACTTATAAATTTCACCAGAGAACGCAAGGTGAAAAATTTCACATTTACATTTTTAAGCAAATTTGCTTCGAATTACATGTAGAGTCCTTCTATGCTATACGCGTATAGTAAAAAAAAAATGACCCGCCCTTATGTACATCTCTAATATGGAGCAGACTTTAATCTCGTTTTCATATAAAAATTCGTACGTGTCCCACCCGTGACGGAGGACTTCCTGATTTTTTTTTTATAATAAAGCCATAATTTTTGTTGCAGTTTTTGCTTTATTTGTATTCGTGGTTCTTTGTTTTTTTTATAAGACATCAAGTTCACATAGAAAAGTGAATTAAATTCAGAGTTTCCGTAAAATATTTCTGCTCGAAAAAGCAGGTTCTTTTTTTGTCACACTCATGACAGGAGAAATAACTCAGATTTTTTCCATATAAAAGTAAAGCTGGATTTTTTTTCGTATTTTGAAATAAATCATATACATAATAGTAACTTTATCAAAATGCAGAATTGTTGAGTACGAGAAAGAAAAAGTTTCTGTACAAATGTCCCACCCGTGACGGTGGAATCACCCATAAGTAATTACATATTTCAAAAACGTCTCAAATAAATAAAAGACACTAGTTTTGTATTCAATTTCATTAAAAATACATTTATTGTTTTTTTTTGTTTCTGTTTATGCATATAAAAACTGAGAAATGAAATTAATCATAAAATATAGGCCAATAGAAATTTAATAATAATAATCATAATAATAATAGTCATAATTGTAATTATAGAAATGTATTATCAATATTTATATGTAATTATGCTTTCAGTATGTATGAATGCAAATGTTTAGCTTAGAAAGAGTGTTGCATGTTGCTGCCTATCTGCAACATAATATACCGATTTATGTGTATTGTATTGTATTGTATTGTATGGTATGTATATTATGCTTATACTTAGATAAGAATACTTGTATATGTGCATGTGTTTTACAATTTGTTATATTATAATTTTGTTTTTGTCTTTGTTTTTATATCGATTTATATATTTTCATTGCTCATTACTCATTTGTCGCTTTCTCACAATTTTTGGATTTGTTTCGCACATTTTCACTTAATTAATTATTTTATATAACTAGATATCGAACAAATTAACCTGCGGCGATAGTCACTGCGCTTCGGTCGCAATCAACTAAAATTTAAAAAAAATTATATTTAAT